TTTCCAGATGTGTCAGTTGAAGAAAAAACACAAAGGAAGGAATTATGAGGGTAAAGAGCATTTCCGACTGAGTTTCAGTAGTAGGTTTATTTTACTATATTTATGGCTTGAATTTTTAAGTGCCTTGTAGATTGTGAGACTAATACTGTTCTCTGATAAGAACCACATAGGTGAGATCACCTTATGATCATGGCTTGTTGGCTCTGTGATAACTAAAGCCTGCCTGGGATGGAATTCAAAGCGGAATTACCTTTTATACTGAGTTCCCCTCCATATCAAAGAGTCTTACTGTAGGGATCATTATAATTTTATGTATACTATATTCAAGTCTTTTAAACTGTATGCTATAATATATGTCTTGCATATATGTTGATAAATGTATCCCTACATATTTCTTCTTTTTCTTATGCTTTTATAAAGATACTGGTTTTTAAATTCAATTTCCAATTGTTCATTGCTAGTATAGAAATATAGTTGATTTTATATACTGACCTTGTATTCTGTAACTTGGCTAAAACTCACTAGTTCTAGTAGAGTTTTTGTAGATTACATATATAGTCATGTTGTCTGCAAAGAAAAATAGTTGTATTTTTTCCCTTTCGAATCTGAATACCTTTTAATTTTGTTTTCCTTGCTTTTTGGTACTGGTAAGAACCTTCAGTATAATACTCAATAGAAAGGGCAAGAGTGGACATCTTTGTTTTCTTCCTGATCTTAGCAGTGTCTTTTACTATTTAAGAATTGTTAGTTGTACATTTTTTATAGCTGTTCTTTGTCAGGATGAAGCAGTTTCCTTCTATTCCTAGTTTTCTGAGAGTTTTTCTTTTATATCATCAATGTATGTTGGGTTTTGTCAATTGCTTTTTCTCTATCTGAGATGATTATATGGTTTATATCTTATTCTATTTGGTGAATTACATTGATTGATTTTTGAAAGTTAAATCAAACTTACATTCTCAGGATGAAACTTAGTCATGATGCATCATTATCTTTTTAAGGGTTTTGTGTCTGTTTATGAGGAATATTTCTTATAGTTTCCTTGTAATGTCTTTGTCTGTTTTTGGTAATGGTAATGCAGTAAGTTGGGAACTCTTTTAATTCTGAGTTTGTGTAGAATTGGTATTATTCCTTAACTGTTTAAGAGAATTCACCAGTGATGCCTTCTGGGCCTTGGATTATACATTGGGAAGCTTTTAAATTATAAATTAAATTTCTTTAACTGATATGGAGCTATTCCCTTTTTTTTTTCTTCAGGTAATTTTGGTAATTAATAGCTTTCAAGGTATTTGTCCCATTTCATCTAAGTTGAATTTGTTGTATAATGTTGGTCCGTGGTATTTTTTTAATGTCTATAGGATCTGTTCTGATGCTCCCTTTGTTGCTCTCATTGGTAATTTGTATTTCTTTCTTTTAGCCTAGTGAGAGTATTAATGACTTTATTGAACTTTTCAAATAAATGGCTTTTGTTTTCACTGGTTTTTCTCTATTGATTGTCTGTTGGTCATTGTCTGGTCATTGACATTTATTATTTTCCTCTTCTACTTATTTTGGGTGGTATAGATATGAAGACAGACATAGATAAATTGGTCAAAATACAGAGACCAGAAATAAACTCATACATAGATGGTCAATTGATTTTTGAGAATGGTACAAAAGCAATTCAAGGGGAAAGGACAGTCTTGCCAAGAAACTGTGTGAGAATAACTCGATATCAATATTAAAAAAATGAATCCACACCCTTATCCTACACCCCAAAGCAAAAAACAAACAACAACAAAAACATTTCAAAATGAACAATAGAGTTAAATGTAAGAACCCAAAACTATAAAATTTCCAGAAGAACAAAAATAAAAGAAAATCTTTATGATTGTACAGTTAGTCAGAGAGTTCCTAGATTGGACATAAAAAAATAAGAAGAAAGAAATACCTGATGCAGTGGACTTCATCAAAATGTAAAACTTCTGTTCTTTTAAAGATACTCTTAAGAGAAAAAAGCAAGGTATAGTCTTGGAGGGAGAAAGTATTTGTAAAAACTTATATCTGAAAATGACTTGTATAGACAATATACATGGAACTCATATCTTTTTACTAAGACAAATCACCCAATTTCAAAAATGGACAAAATATTTGAATAAATGCTTCACAAAATATGTATTAAAATAAAACATGAAGTTCACCAGCATTAGTCACTAGTGATATGCAAATTAAAACATAGTATGCTAAGACTTTAAAGGCACTAAAATTAAAAAGTCTTACCATACTAAATGTTGGACAGGCTCTGAAGCAACTGAAGCTCTCATACATTGCTGGTGAAATGGCACAGTCCTGTTGAAAAACAGTTTAGAATTTTCCTATATAGTTAAGCCTACACTTACCATATGATGTAGCAGTCCCTCTCCTAGATATTTATCTAAGAGAAATGAAAACCTTACGGAAAGCTGCCCAAATGTCGTCCATCAGTAGGCGAATAAATAAATATATTATGCTGTACTGCTCAGCAATAAAAAATAATGAATTACTGATGCACGCAACAACATGGATGAATCTGGAAAACACACTGAGTGTAAGATTTCAGACATGAATCTATACTGTATGATTCTGTTCTTTTGAAACTCTATTAAAAAACCTGATCTGTAGTGATGAAAGCAATTAAGTGGTTGCCTGAGGCTGGAGATTGTGTGGATAAGGGAATAACAGGCAAAGGACATAAGAGAAGCTTTTCAACTATTATAGAAATACTTCTTGGCTGGGCATGGTGACTCACGCCTGTGATCCTAGCACTCTGGGAGGCTGAGGCGGGAGGATTGCTTAGGTCAGGAGTTTGAGACCAGCTTGAGCAAGAGTGACATCCCATCTCTACTAAAATCAGCTGGGCGTGGTGGTGCCTGTCTGTGGTCCCAGCTACTGAGGAGGCTGAGGTAGGAGGATCAATTGAGCCCAGGAATTTGAGGTTGCTGTGAGCTAGACTGAAGCCATGGCACTCTAGCCTGGGGAACAGAGTGAGTCTTGGTCTCAAAAAAAAAAAAAGCTTAATTGTGGGATTAGGTTTGCAGGTGTGTGTGTTGCCAAAACTTATCGAACTGTCCCCTTATTGTGGGTATATTTTAATATATGTAAATTATGAATTATACTTCTTATGTTATTAATTATACTTCAGTGAAGTTTCTTTTTCAGTAGTTATTAAATCTTCTGCTAAGCTTTTAAAATGTACATTCCTCTATCCCACTTCATACCCAAGGAATCAATTGCTAGCAGTAGGCCTGCTCATCCGAGTTTTCATAAAGTTTTAGAGGTGATTTGGATTCTCAGCTGAGGTTCAGAAATAATTTTCTCTTTGCATGGCTTTTCTTTCTTAAGACTCTCAGAACCTAATGAAGTGAAATTTTTGTTGTAAAAGTCATTACAATTACTAGTTTTATTCATGTTATTTGTATCCCCACTTTCATTAGTGAATTTAAAATAAACTTTAAGTCCACTTTACTTATTTTAGAAAAGTTAGCTAATTTTAATAGCATATCTTTACATTTTTATTACAAAAGTATAAGAAAGAAAAGAAAAATTGTCCATTTTGCTACATTTTATGTGAAATGTGAATTTTGAGTTGAAGTCCCTTCTCTAGTTCTTTAATCTCATAGCCCTAATTACTATTAATTTTGATGCATATTTTTCTACATATTTTCCCTATGCTTATAGAAGAGGGACATATACTTAATAATATATATTTTCAAATATTCCTTTCTTTCTTTCTTTTTTTAAAATTTTATTTTTTTTGTAAAGATGGTGGTCTCTCTTATATTGCCCAGGTTGGTCTTTAACTCCTGGCCTCAAGCAGTCCTCCCTCAGCCTTCCAGAGTGTTGGGATACAGAGGGGAGCCACTGCACCCAGCCTTATTTATTTATTTCAGTAGTATGTGTATTGAGTGCCTGTTCTGTGCCACTCATCACACTAAGTCCTGAGGCTCATGAGCCAAAGAGACATCTGCTCTCTTGAAACTTGCATTATTGATTAAATAATAGTTACACAAACATATATATTTAAACTATAGCAAGTGTTATAGAAGTATAGAATGTTTTGACAATACACATAGTAAAAATTAAAACCTTTTCTTACCCTTTCACCCTAGTTCAGATACATACATTGAAGTTTGCTTTTCTGAGTCAGTAGTATGATGATTATTCATTTGGATAAAGTATCTTGGACACAAACATCCTCTCAGTAAAGTATTAATTTTTCTTTCATTGTTAGCATTTTTATATTATTTTAAAACATCAGGAAATCTTAACTATTTAATTTCAGTGTAAAAAAATTTAAATATCATTGTCAGCAAATATTTATATAATGTCTCCCTGAGCCTTGGTCTGTGATTGTTATGCATTTATGTGCTATACAACGTTTTGTTACTAAGACAACAACTTGAAAATAACAATTTGTCCAAGTGGCATTTTTTTGGTGATAGCGGAGGGATTATTAATGCTGGTATATGTCGAACACAAGTGTTTCTTAAAATATATTATACACAATACTGATTGTTTTTAATGTTAATAGAGAGTATGTGTGATGGAAGTTTTGTGCTCATATAAATTTAGGAAATGTGGTGTTAAATAAAGTTAAACATTTTTAACTCTGCTTCTCAGAACCTTTAATGTGTTATGTTCTGAATCTTTAAGTCAGAGCTGTAGTAAACAGTGACTCTATTTGACCATGGAATCCTGTTTCCCATGGCCTTTATTTCCATGAATAGAGATCTAAACAGATAAATAAATCTCTAATAACATCTAAAAAATCATAATGGCATATTTTTAAAATGCACAATAATTTTAATGTAAAAACATTATCATTTAACGGGACATGATTTTATCATCTATAGTCACTAGATCTGTATTTTGTCTTTATATGTTGAACTTTTGGAAATTAGTTTATACATAATGAAAGAATCAGTTCTCCATTCTTGCATCTTTATCTAGTAGAGAAAAGTGAAATTTATGTTCTTATATTTCAGAGCAAAGTAGAAGAGATGATTTAGAAGCTTTAGGTCATATGTTCATGTATTTTCTGAGAGGCAGTCTTCCTTGGCAAGGCTTAAAGGTAATTATTTTTGTGTTACCTTATTGAATTTCATAAAATGTTAAGATTTATTAGGGTCCTCTCTTTCAGCTAAATAAGTCTAAAAGTACCACATTCTCAGGATTCTTGTGTGTGTGTTTTAGGCTGACACATTAAAAGAGAGATATCAGAAAATTGGAGATACAAAACGAGCTACACCGATAGAAGTGTTATGTGAAAATTTTCCAGGTAATGAATAATGCCAAATTGATTCATGTACTTAAATACAAAAAAGCTGAAGTGCTAATTTTCATTGCTTAAGTTTATAAACAGTTTTTTTCATGCTTTAAAAAAATGAACTCAAAATGTGATTTAGAAGATGTCAGCATTTGATGCATAGCCATAGGGACAATTTGTATATTTTTTTGCAAAGTGGTATTAATGGAAGAAAATCTCATATTTTAATAATCTTGACTAATACCATCTGAAGTAATATTTCCTTCAGTTACATATTTTAGTAACTTAAAGCATTTGCTAAAGAATACCAATTATAAAGTTATGGTGTACATTGTTAGTCATTTGCATCTTAGTGTTCAAAGGAGGTGTGTGAAGTATGATTTAGTTTAGTTTTCAAATTACAATAAAATCTTTCTAGTTTTAGACTAATTTGATATTGGGGAGCTGTATGCATTTATGAATATAATTTTGTTTTCAAGTAGATTTATGGCAACTCAAACCAACAAAATTTACTTTTGGATTCTAAATCAATTAAGGAATAAGGATGTTACTGTTAATATATTAAAATACCTGCTGTGATTTGTGCAGCAACATTAAATGAAAAGGGAACTAAATTTGAAGGTTTAAGACTGAGTTCCTATCTCACTTCAACATTTACTGGTTATCCTATATATTGCTGGCATTACTGTTGTAATAATAATATCATCAATATAATCTAGGTAGCTCTTTCTCAAGGCTGCTTATGTTATTCAGTGATAGCAAACTTTAATTATATGTTTTTTTCTTTCTACAACATCTAGAAGTAGAAGATTATTAAAATATTGGTTGATAGTACTAGGAGTTAAGGTGTAGGCAGATTGGCTGGCTGTGATTAAAGAAGCCTATATAAAGGCAGGAAAAATGGGGGTACCAAAGTAAATTAGCCAGGTGATTATAGCTAGCAAGTGGATAATGGGAAAGTCACTATGTGAGGAAGGTCACTGGGTACCACTTTTCTTGCCCATTGTGCTGGGTGTCATGCTTACTTACTGGCTGCTAGCAAATGAATCGGAAGAGAAAAGCAGCCAGGCATAACCTGCCATCTCTTACTATAGTGATTTTCTGTGCCTTTATGGTGAGACACTCTGTTTCAGTAATTGCTCACCATTTTACCTGTTGGCATTTATGGTTTTTTTCTTCTTTTCTTTCTGGAAAATATGACCTTAAAAAAAAAAAAAATATATATATATATATATATATATAAAATACATTTGAGAATTATAGGTATATGTGGAGATTTGTCTATTACCAAATAATCATTAAGTATATGACTAGAAATTAAGAGAAGACTTACAGTGTGCTCCTGTGTTATGTTTTTGAGATCTGTTTTAGCTTTATTTTGCTAGTGTAATTTGTTGGAATACCACTCATAGCCAAGGTTAGGAATTTGAATCCTCTATTTATCAGTTTGTGTATGTCACTGGTTCTCAAGGAAATCCAGTAAGCTATGGCAGATGCTTTTGTATAAATCAATTTCCACCAATATTTTAAATAAATTTTTAAACTCATGAACTGAGTGTGATGCTTTGTGATTAATCATGTATTATTAAGCTGCTAATTCAACTTCTAATACTGCTTGATATTAAAAATAATATTATAAAATAAAAATTTTAGCTTTTCTTAATGAAGTGAAGCAAAAATATTGGTTGTTAAACTAAACATCACCTTTTTCTTTTTTCTCTATTTCCTTTCCTCCTTTCTTTTCCTCTTTTTTATTTTGTTGTAATTAAACTTAGAAAATTTTAAGTTACAGTAGAATTTTTAAATTTCCTATGTTCTTATAATATGGTATGTTTTTAGACATTTAAATAATTTTATTATTGAGTATAATAGAAGTATATTGAAATAATTTTTGTATTCTTTCTAGAAGAAATGGCAACATATCTTCGTTATGTAAGAAGGCTAGATTTTTTTGAAAAGCCAGACTATGACTACCTAAGAAAGCTTTTTACTGACTTGTTTGATCGAAAAGGATATATGTTTGATTATGAGTATGACTGGATTGGTAAACAGTTGGTGAGTACTGTATGCCAGCAGTCCCTAACCTTTTTGGCACCAGGGACTATTTTCATGGAAGACAATTTTCCCATGGACTGGGGTGGGGGATGGAGGATAGATGAGTGGTTTCGGGATGGTTCAAGCTCATCACATTTATGGTGCACTTTATTTCTATTGTTATTACGTTGTAATATATAATGAAGTAATTATACAACTCACCATAGGTTGGGGTCCCCTCCTCTATGCTATGCAATAAGACTGTAGTATTTGTCTTCCTTTTAGCAGTACAAATCCTTCAACTTAAAAGAGTTGATAACAAATAACTTTTTTAAAGGATTCATTTTATTATTTTGGGGGGGACATTTCTTCAGGTAGTAATATTCTTTGAATTTTGTAAAAGTCCTACATTTGGATTCTCTGCTTTTTAGAGTGATGAGTTATTTTGAACTTTTTATCCTGATTTAGTTCTTAATGTCAAAGATACTCTTTTGTATAATAGTCTCAGTACTTTAATACTTTAGTACTTATTACCTTTATTGATGAAAATTAAAAATTTTAATAAGCCTCTTCTCTGAGTCAAATATTGAAAATAATTTGAATTTTTTTAAACTTAATTTTTTAAAAATAATTTATTCTATTTATACATTAACTTTGGAAATGAGGGACATAACCAAATATATTTTTATTGTTTTGAAATGAAAACGTAACCTAAAAGTAATGACAGTATTAGCAGGTCTTTTGTAAATATAAATACTTATAAGTATTTAAATATTTAAAAGCATTTAAAAAGTAGGTATATTCTCTTTGTTTTTCCTTGTTAGCTTTAACAATGTATTTTGAGAATGGTATCTTTTCTTAAAGCCTTAATTTACTTAACAGTGTCTTTTATTTTTTCCTTGATTTTTTTCAAGCAGCTAAATAAATGATTTTAAATAAGATTTCTAAAGTGGAATGTATCGATACCAATTTTTATTGTATTGTAGCCTACTCCAGTGGGTGCAGTTCAGCAAGATCCTGCTCTGTCATCAAACAGAGAAGCACATCAACACAGAGATAAAATGCAACAATCCAAAAACCAGGTTTGCTGCTCTTTTAGATATGAAATATCTTACTTTGTATCAGTATTGAAACACATACTTTTTTCTTAAATAAAGCAGATTGAAGGATTAAAAATACATACATTTTTAATAGATAAACTATTTCTCCTAATTTTACTATTTATTAGTTTAATAATAACATTAAAATGTTTAATCATAAATTCCTAATTAATGGTATAAATTCATGTAAACTTTGAGTAATATTTGATATTCGATTAGTATGAAACTATTTAGATATTATATTGGAATGAATTGTAAGAGTACTTGATCTTACTATAGTCTAATTTAGTTCAGTAAATTGTTTATTGAGTTTCCGCTATTTACAAACTACTATTTTACACACTGTAGATATGTAGAAGTAAAGAAGACAGTATAACCTATAAGAAATGGTTTTGTGACAAGTGGCTAAAAGCAAGATTGCAGTTATGAACTCACCCAGACTGTAGAGTCAGACATACATGGATGTGGCTTGACCCTCGGCAAATTAATCTTCCAAAGCCTCAATTTCCTCATTTGTAAAATGAAAATAATGCATGTTAATTCCTAGCATATAATAAGCTTTCAATTCTAACTCTTGTGACTGGTGTCATTATTATCATGCTTATTACAATAAATACACAAATAACTATATTTCAAAGCAGAATAAGGTATATTATATGAAGTATTAATAAAGTGTCATGAAAGATCATATGTGGGGATCTATAAAGATTTTAAGGAAAAGGTGGCTTTTGAGATAAACCTGAAGAATGAATGGAATTTTTAAAGAGAAATCAAGGAGTAAGGGCATTTTGGGGATAGTGAACAGTATAAAATATGAAACATAAGTTTAAAAATGTAGAATTGGTTTGAGGAATTGCAAGTGGTCCAATTTGCTTGGAGCAGAGAGTAGGTAGAGAAGGATTAAACACGGAGCAGAGAGTAAGTTTGATACAAGGCATGGAAGATTGGTTGAGAGTGCATGGTTCATGTTTCCTGGGTAAAGGAATAGAAAGCTGTTGAAATTTTTGAGCAATGTTTTCATTTTTTTTTTTTTTTTTGTAAAAAGAAGGTTTTTTGAAGATGTCTTTAATTTAAAAATTTTGCTGTCACCCTGAGTTTTGGAAAAGGATAACATGTTCTCCTTTTTTACTTTTATATTGTGTATTCCATCAGAGTATGAGCGAAGGCTAAACAAGAAATGAAAATCAAAGGCAAGAACACTGCTTATTTAAAAACCATAGTAAAATAAAATGCTATACTTTAGAGGGTATTTAACAATATTATATTATGCTGTAAAGTATAGCCAATTTAAAAGATTAATTTTAAAATTTTGACTTAGAACAATTGGGACAATAAAGGGCCTTATATGTAAATTCATATATAAATTAAAATTAGTTTTTAACTTGAGTACTCTGATAAGATGCTGTCTATAGAAAGAAATGGCTCAGAAGTTGAGACTTGAGTTTGTGTTTTATAAACCAGAGTTAGTTTCTTGAATGTACTTGGAAGAAGATTAATAATTGGTATTCTCTGAAGTTCTTCATTTGACCTGTTAGGTATTATAATAAATGGAATTCTTCTTTTATTGTTGAATTAAATTATAAATTACATATTTTAGACTTTTAATTTTCTACATGTTTTGGACATGTCTTACTAGCTATATTATAAGCTTACTGAGGGTGGGAACCATATTTTATTTGTGCAGTCATTATTGAATTAAATGTGGGGAAATCCTTTAGGATAGACCTATATGTTTAATTTGAGACTTGTATATACAGATTCTCGTCATTATAAGAAGGTTATGTATCTAGATAAAACTCTTCTTAAATATCTATGAACCAGTAAAGTTTTAGGAGAAACCCACAGTTCAAAATCCCGGAGGAAATTAAGGCTAATTCTTTCAAATGACTGAAATCTTTGTAGTGTCTTTAGATAAATGGTAACCTTAAGGTCAGTAGGTTGAAGTTTAGGGCATCGTGAAATTCTGTGTAAAATGATGGGCATGTTTAATTGTTTAGTCTGAGAAGAGGGTGCATAGCTTTTGCTATATTCTTAGAGAGTTCCATGACTCTAAAATGTTGCCTATTGCCCTGGATATTTTTGTCAATTTTAGCATTATTTTTATTCTTTTATCTAGATTTGATTTTATCTATTAATAATTTATTTCAATTTAAGCTATAAATCTGCTAAATTCTGGTTATGAATTTGGAATGTTTCATGAAAAGACATTAGAGAATTATCATAATTGTTTTGATGACATACTTCATGCCACAGAGTATATAATTTTGGATTGTACAATTTAATTGAGAAAGCTTAGTGCAAGATCATCTATTCTTGTGTCTACTTGAATTTAACATCTCTCCCCTAAAAGGTTGCTCCGGCCACTAATCTGCTTAGGCTCCCTGTAGCACAATGTGCTTGGTAATTTGTGGCAAGATTTTCTTGATTTTACTTGAAAAAGAAAGAAAGAAAAGAGCACTGAAGGCTTTATAATATATGTGATTGTGGTAAGGAGCTAGGTAGTATTTATTATTACAAGAATAGTAGGCTCTGAGTTGGGATTTCTGCTGTACTCCTTGCTCGCTTTGTGACCTTAGGGAAGTGCTTGACATCTCAATGTCTTCATTGGTAAGATGTGAGATGATACTATCTATCTCAAAATGAAATAACACATATAAAGTAACTAATGAAGAACCAAACACATAATAAAACTTGTATTCTTCTCCCTTCTTTTGATTAGTGCTGTTCACATTTTCTTGAAACATAGAAATTGACCTCTCTTAAGAAACTACTCTTAATTCTACTAGTAGATTATTATGTTTGTGGTCATTGCCATGTAGATTTGCCAACAGATCTGAAAACATTAAGAATTTTTAGCCTATTTCATAGAAATGGGTTCCTTAATTTGAACCAGATAAAAAGAGATCAAGGAGGCAAAGGGATTCACATGTGTAGGATTGTCACTTTTAAAAAACTTTTGTTTGTTTGTTTGTTTGGTCTTATTCTCATAGTATTCTGCTTCTCTTTTTTCTGTTTTCTCATGTTATGCTCACAATCAGAAATGGGACTAAGCAAGAGAGAAAATTTTTCTAGGATCTCAAGCACAGTTATTTAAGGATGATCATTTTTATCTTCTTAAAAATATCTCCTTATCAGAAAACCAGTTGGGACCTGTACCATAAGAAAATACAGTGGATGGCCTTTTAGAGTGCTCATGACTTATTTGGAGTGCTTTCTTGGGCATGTCATTTTTATCTTTTTAATTCTTTGTTAACTTCATTTATAAAGTTAGAGTGTGAAATCTATGATTTCTAAAGTCCTTTTACTTCTAAAATTTTATGGTTCTATTTTATTTTTATTATTGATCATTACACAATTTGGCAGTTGAAAATCTCTCCATATTCCACATGCAAAGATAACTATACCTATGATCCAGAATAGTAAGGATATTTTAAATTTCCTTTTATATGTTTGTTTTATATATTATAAGGATGAGATGTTTAACATATTGGGTTTTTCTTCTTCCATGCATGCCATATGCATTAAATAAATGGCAGTCGGCAGACCACAGGGCAGCTTGGGACTCCCAGCAGGCAAATCCCCACCATTTGAGAGCTCACCTTGCAGCAGACAGACATGGTGGCTCGGTACAGGTATTTTCTGATTTTTGCATGAGTGATTATTTCCCAAATTTATACAACTAACCCTTTTTTGGAACTCATGGCATGATTACATATCCTAATGGAAAGTTTGTTGCTGAACTCTATCCATAATTCTATCCTTTGTTATTTAACTACAAAAACAAATTAACATGGTCTAGGAAGACCACCAAGATTTTGCTTTTCTTTATTTTTGCAAGTATATACAACAATATTTAAGTCATACTCAAACAGATTAGAAAAACTGTTACTTGAAATATATGTTAAACTTGATTTTACAATAATAAGTTCAGTCTTTTTTAATGCTTTAAGTCTGCAGTCCCAAGGCCCGGGCTGTGGACTGGTACTGGTCTGTGCCCTGTTAGGAACCGGGCTGTACAGCAGGAGATAAGCGGCAGGCGAGAGCAAGCGAAGCTTCATCTATGAAGCTTCCTCTGTATTTACAGCTGCTCCCTGTCGCTTGAGTCACCGCCTGAGCTCTCCCCTACTCCCATCCATGGAAAAATTGTCTTCCATGAAAATGGTATCTGTTGCCAAAAAGGTTGGGGACTACTGCTTAAGTAATATGACATTTTTTAATCTTTTCCTTTACATTGATTTTGTCTCCTTCAAACTTAAGCCACTTAAATAGATATCTTTTTTCATCCTTAATATCAGAATGTACTTTCTGGTTAATTGGTCAAATAAACTTGTCCCTAAATTTTATAATAGAATATTTTGCTTTTATACTTGTAGAAAATATCAGATGGAGAAAATAATTTTAATGACAAGTATTTCTTAAATACTCCCTTCAATAAATTGGATATTTGCATAAATTTAAAGCAGTCCTTTATTTGTAATTTGTCCCTTTTTTACACACTTAGAGACAGTTTCGATACTCTGCCCTCCCATGCTCACTAAATTTAAATCATTTATGTGTATTGTAGAAATAGGGAAATTATTATTACTAAGTCTCTTATATCTTTTAAAATACTGGTTTAAGGTATTATAAAAGCTAGTTTAAAATTATTGCAATAACAAATGTTAATACATTTTAATTTAGAATTTTTTTTATATTTTTATTTTTTCTCTATATATTTTCACTTGAATATTTTCCATTATGTTTTATCAAGTTTGCATTTTTCTTTATATATATATTTAATCAAGAGATTTATACTCTGGATTTTATTCTTTCTTGATTTGAACTCTAAAAATTAATTCATAATTAAATCTTATGAACTCTCATGTTTTTCTCACCATTAAATTTTAGAGGTAATTTAAATTATGTAACCAAATATTTTTGTAGAATTTTGAAGTTTGTGGAATTTTCAGTAATATGTGATAGAAATATATAAATAGTTCTATAAGAGTCCAGAGTGAAGGACTCAAAGGCAATAATGCCTGAATTGTAATACTTTTTTTACCTCAATTCATATCATTGGAAAAGCTAATTGAGCAAATTATACTCAATTTGCATAACACAAACTGAATTGGGTATGTATCTGTATATGTTTACGTGTTTCTAAGTTTGTGTGTATGTATTATAGGAAGTGTTTTGCTCAGAAAAATCTGCAACAATTAAGGCAATATTAGAAAGCTTTCCTACCACTTCTGTACCATTGCCACAAATTTATTTTCTTAGCCTCTTTTTACTCTCATGTGATTCCCAAAGGTGGCTCATGGAATCCCTTTGCATTGTCAAGGGTAAATAAATTTGATTGTTGGCTTAGTTACTCCAGTACTTCATGTTCTGTTGTTTCACATGTTTTCACAGAGGTATTTAAACTTTGCTCATTTCTCATTTCTCTCTAAAACTTTTCTGCCTATGGAAACTACATCTAATTTCATTCTAATATTCAAGAAATGATCAATTTTACTTAACTAGAATTCTGGTATTACATAAAGTAAACACATAGGTAAACAAAAAATGAATATAATATTTTCATGGACTTCATGAATGAATATATTTTATAATATTAACTGACCTGTTATGATGAACATTTAAAACATTTGATTTTCATGAAAAATTTACTGTCAGCCTAAATAGGATCATGTCTGAATCTTGTCCTATTCCAAAATACTGAATTTATTTATAATTTATAGTCCATACACTTTCAAAATTATTACGGAATTGTAAATTAAAACTAATGATAATAAGAGGAAAGAAAAGTGCCTAAAATCTGAGCTAATATAATTATTATAATTGAATACCATATTTTATTTTGAACAAAGACAGAAAGAGAACAATATGGTCTATGATTCCCATTGTCTGATAAAGGGAAGAGATAAGGAAAAAACTTTTTACTAATACAAAAGTCTGAGAGGAATTCGCCTTATGGCTCTTTGTGCAGTGGTCATTAAACCACCTTTTGAATAGGTTTCAAGCATTGACTTTGCAGGAAATGTGAAGATTTTGTTTGGCAATTAAAAAAATTATGCTCAAGTACTAAGGGCGTATCATCAAATAGTTTTTCAGGAAAGAGATTTTCATGACAAATAGATAGCTATGTGGTAATGAAATGTGGTATAGATTTAGGATATTCAGAAACAGAATCAGCAGTTACCCAAAATGAGCCATTCTGGACGTAGGCTTTCTTCTCTAATCTGTCACTGTACTCTTTTCCATGGAACTGACCATTGCTCTCAGTGCAGCACTCAGAAGCATTCCAGGCTGTTGAGAGCTGACATCCAAGATGAAACCTCTTTTAATTTTTGACCTACAGAAAGATCTTCAGATATTTGTTATTTCAGTTGTGCTTTTAATAGAAACTATTAGCAGAGTCTAAATTTGAACTCCATGCCTTTCCAGAATTATTATGTAACAGACCAGACATAAAAGTTACTGAGTTGGTGACATTGTGGTTAAGCTCTGGGGTCAGATTTGAGTTCAAATTCTGAGCCTGAGATTATTTTATCAGTAAATTGAAGATATTACTAGTACCTCTACCTTGTGGTTTTGTTGTGAAAATTTAATTTTAAAAAAGTATTTTGCATAGAAGTTGGGGCTTAGGAAGTGCTAATAAGTAAGTAGAATATATTATTTTTGCAAATTAAGAAACTTGACTAGTATTTTTATCTATCTCTGGGAAGTGAAGTATAGAAGTACAATTTAAAAAAACATTGCTAAATGGAATTTTCCTAATTTTATTTTGTCTCTTTAGTGAAATAATGTTAATTCACTAAGCAGAAGGATACAGCTATACATTTGATAAAATTTTCCCAATCAAGAGACTAAGAATAATATTCAGCTATGTAAAGGCTTTATTTGAATCTATTCTTGGCCTGTGTGCATTCTGGAAAACCTCAGGGGAATCAACTATGCCCCTTTCTGTTCCTCCTTAGAATCATTGGTAATAAATATGGATGGGAAACTTAGACCTACAACATTCAGTTTCTTGGCTGTTATCCAGCAAATAGTTATATAACTGTTTAGTAGGTGCTAAGCATTGTTCTAGGTTCTTTGAATGAAAGGAAGAATACAGAGACATGGGGCCTGTGTCCATGGAGCTTTCAGTCACTGGAGAGGCTGACAAGCAGGCAGGGTTCATGGTGGAGACAGCACAAGGTGCTAGGAGATTATAGAGGAAAAGCACCTAACCTGGATTTAGTGGGTCAAGATTTCCTGGGAAAAGTGATATCTAAATGGAGACTTGAAGAATCAGTAGGAGTTAATCAGCAGAAGAAGGTAGTAGGGGGCAAGAGAGGAATGTATACCAGGCAGAGAAGGCAGTGTGCTTAAGGGTATGGAGGAGAGAGAGACACCTTGAGGAGTTGGTATCTTCAGTCAAGCTGGTGTTATTGAGAAATAAAACCAAGAGGTAGAAGGAAGCAAATCATGAAGAATCAACAGGTCTTGTTACTAAATTTGGACTTTATTCTGAGGATATTGGGTAGTCATAAAGAGAATTAGATAGGGTACCAACTTGATCAGATTATTGTTTTTTAAAGATGACTTTCATTGGAGACAAGCATTGAAGGGACTAAGTCAGGCACATAGCTATCAAGTCTATAGCAGGAGAAGAGTGATGGGTAGTGGAGATGAAGAGAAATGAAAAGATTTGAAAAATAATTCAAAAGTAGAGTTTAGTTAGGGATGGGAGCTAAGGAGAAAGGAAGAATTCAGTTATCCTGTTTTGATGTGTTTCTACTTGGCAAATGAAGAGCACCAAAATTAGGTTTTAAAATGTACCACTGGCAGCAGATAGTGGTAATCTCTATTTCCGTTGTTCCTGTGTTTTTCATTGTAGCACCACTCCATTGAGCTCAGTGCCAACTGAGAATCTGATCCTATAAAGCTGAGAGGTAACTGTAACTAGAGGGAAGAAGACAAATAATTAAGGATGCTACCGAAAAACTATTTTACACGGTATATAGTGTAACTCCTGATTGTTTGGAAATTTCTTATAGTTAGGGACAGCCTTTGGTTTGACTCTAAATAATTATGTGATTCTTAGCAACCAGGGGAGAAAAGGGCAGAATGACAAATACTGCAGACATGTTGGTGCATCTAGGCTCTGTTGAGGAAAATGAAAGAATAATATTAATTGTTGTAATAAACACTCTGATGTTTTAGCTGATAAAGCATCAGAAGTACAAACACAGGTGATGATAATAGAAAAAGAATTAGACATGTGTTTTGAGATGGTAATAAAACATACATACGTGGTTAAAAGAGGAGTAGTAGATAACATGTCTCAGTCACTTTTCAATTTTGCTAATTGTGAATGCTGACCTTTCTAAAACATTTCTAAAACTAGTTTCAGTCTTTTCTATCTGAAATTACAGAGTTACTAACAAGGATCAAAATCAAGTAACTATTCCAATCACGTCTTTCTATTCATAGTTTTCTGGGGTACTGCAATCTGCAAAAGAGAGGTGGAGTTACATCCCTTTATTACTTCAAATTCCAGTTCATCTCCTTTAGTTTAGTTTAGGAAATTCCTTGTCTAGTTATCACTGGATAAATCAGCATTATGAATTTATTTTGATATTCTTTTACAATAACATTAATGGTA